AATTGAAGCGGTAAGTGGACAAAGGGGTTAACTTACATTTGCATCTTAACACATTTTTTCAATAACAAATTTTAAAACTATTATTTTTTTTTGTTAGTTAACTCCTTCTTGTTTTGTCAATCTCGTCTTCTATTAGGTTTCTAGCTATATGAGTAATCACAGTTGAAAATAATTATATAAAATTTAATGATGTTCTATCCGAAAAGCTCGATTTTCGTCAAAATGTTAGTTAACCCCTTTGTTCATTTACCTCTTTATTAATATCGTATATCAGTTCATTTTAGAAAGATTAGTCTAAGGAAACAAATACCATTGATACCGGATCAGAAACCCTCTTAGATATTTGGTCAATGCTATTCCGTCCTTATTCAATATAGATTACATTTTTAATATTCAATCACATATTGTTATACTCGTTCAGGTTTGAAAATAACTATTATTTAGGTAACTCGTATTCATTATTAAATAAAAATGAAAATTTTCTTAACTCTATTATATGAAAAGTTTTCCATTATCATAAAAAATGTCAACATATCCTTTCGTTTAATCTTATTAAAGTGTCATGAGTTTTTCATTTTTTTTTGAATTCATATTGCAGATATTGCGATAATAAGTTTTTTTATTGCCTTAAGATTTTCAGAATTTCATTCAAATCTTTTTAAAAATTTCACATATTTCTATATCATATACACACATACCATTTTTGCAGGTATAACAAGTTTCTAAAGTGTAGATATTTCACCTATGACTTACCTACATAATATTCTTTAACCAGTTTCTTTAATTTGTGTAAGTTAAATTTATGTACGAGTATACGTAAGTATATTAAGAAATACAGTGAAATTCACATTTGCTATCCTTGAAACTTGGAAATTCAGTAAAAATTTTTTATCATAAACAGAATAGTTTCTTGAATTTTTTTGTATGTATTCTTATTTTCAGAGTCTTCCGACATAATTTTTGATATTGTTGCCAAATATCACTTTTAGGTATACTGTTCAATGAGTAGAACCCTCCAAACATTATATGAAACAATACTCAATCTGCCAAAAAAGTTTTTCACTCGTAAGTTCTTTGTACTGCATGCTAATCTTTTGCTGATTTTAACAGGGTTAAGACTAAATTTGTTACTGCTTAAATAAACAACTGGAGAGTTCAAATTAGGGATTTTCAACTGTTGATTAATTTTTTTTTTTTGTCTTTTAATTTCAAAAAGTTCATTTATTTGAAAATAGTTTTTTTTTTGCTAATACCGTATACGGTATTACCTATATTATGTAGGTATTCTTATCTTTAATGTAGGATCTAAACAATATACAATTTTATCAAAAATTCAGGAAATAAAGTGTTGTCTGAAATATGCAATATGACGTCTTCTAAAACCCCGAAATTACATATTTTGTTTAGAAACAATTTCATTTTTTTCTTTTTCTTTTGAAACTTGCAATGATTTTTGAAAGTTTAAGTTTTTTCGTCTTTTTTTTGCTGTTTCTTTTTTACTGTTCAACTTTGTCATATATGAGATATTTTTTTGTCATAGTTATTAAACATTAGAAAAATACCAGACAAAAAATTAAACTGAAACGGTAAATGATTGAGAAAGACGGGTATGTATTGACAAGTGTTGCCGTTTTGCAATAATTTACCGTAAAATTTATTTAATTTTTAGTGGTGTCATTGAATTTTGCTCGACAATGTTTATTAATTATTCTCGAAATTAATTTGAAAAATATTTAACAAAAAGAAAGAAAAACTACTTTGCAAGAACCTCATCAATCTGACGTCCATGTCAATCACGTCAATCACTTTTATTTACAAATAACAATCATATGTGATTAAAGCACACATTTTTAGAAATTGCTTTTTTTCAATGTAGTAGCACATAAAATAATGCAAAAACAAAAAGGACAGCTTTTGGTTATAATTGTTTGTAAGTTACGTTCTTGGAGTGTACTAAACTTTTAATCCAATTATTTTAGTAAGAGTGGGGAGTCTCTCAACTTCTTGCACAAGTAAAAATTCTTGAAGCAATCTTGAAGTAGTTTTGGTGAAATTTAACGATTTCTTTTTCAAAATTTAAAATTACCGGTTCTAGTTTTTATTCCTATAATTACGTACGATTACGTATGGAACACTTTGGCAAATTAACACACAGCACTCAAAATCATTCATTCGTCCGAGTATCTATTACTACCTAATCTCGTTTTGTAATAGCTTCCCAAGTTGTAATGGTTATAATATCTTCAAAATACTTGTTCTCCAATTTTGTGAAATTTGTATTTCTGCTTTGTAGATTGTTGCATAACCGGGGTAACAGTGCACTGCTATCACGTCGTAGTTTTAGTTTTGGTTCATTTAAAATTTTAATCATTCCAATCGATAGCCACCAAATTAAATCACCTTAAATAAGTAAAGTGTGCTGGCAACTTTTATCCTTAGTTTTTTTTTCTTTAACGTTAGGTGTCCTTACTAGAGTTTCTTATATTTATAATATGTATATGTGTATGTTTCTACATAATAATATAATGTAAATGCACTTGAATGAATTTTCATCTCATCTTGTGGTGCATTCTAATGTTGTTAATTAAGAAATTTTGTAAAGTTTGATAACAATGTTCCGTTTTTAAATGCAATTTCCTTTAATTTTTTATTTTGTTTGTTTTTATTGTGTTTTCTCTCTGCTTTTTTCTTTTTCTTCTTATTTTCTTATATAAAGAAAGAATGATTTTTTTTTTGTTTCATTTAATTTCTTTGTATTATTTTTATTGCTGGTTTTACTACTTGTGCCACTGCTCTTGTTATGACTTGTGCTTTGTATTGTACATGCTACGGTTTTATTTTTCTTTCTTGCAAGTATAGAAAAACTTCTACGTTTTCTTTTATTGTGTTTTGGTTTCTCGTAAATTCGTTTTTGTGTTTATATAAGTGTATGTAGTTGCAGTTGTTTTCATTTTATTTCTTTATTTAATTTTTGTAATTTATTTTGTGTATGAAGGCGTGTTTTTGGTAGTTAAGTTTCTTGTAACAAAACTTCAAAGTTGAGATTATCTGAAAAAACAAAAAAAAAAAAAAATAGAACAAAAACGCAAAAAAAGTAGAGAAAACAATGAAAATGAAAACAAAGGAACTTAATGCAGGGGTGGATAAAAAAATTTTAAAGAAAGAGAAAACTTAAAAAAGTGAGAGAAATATTAAAAATATAAAAAAAAAATTTTTTGTTTTTATTTTTCTTGATGATAATTTTATCAAAATTATTATAGAAAATATTTTTTTTTTGTTCTCACGCTTACATAGCATAAGTTCGAAATCAATCAATTAAATAGGAGATTCTGTGAGATAGAATTTCATAGAAGAAAAAGTTTTCGAGAAAATTTATAGATTCCTCATTTATATTTTTAGTTAATTGTATTGTATAACAGATAAATTAGTGATTCTCTCAATGCATTCATTAAACTTATTGTCCCACGCAAAACTTTCTTGTAAAACATAATAGTTTGAGGTACAAAGGGAAAATCAATAGATTCGTTCAATGAATGACAAAATAATAAAAAGAGTGTCATGTCAAGATTTATTTAATTGAAAAACTAATAGATAACCGACTAGTTAATATAGTTTAATAACAAAATTCTAACCAGAAGACATATAAAACTATAAGAATATTAATTGTTAAATCTCGAACCAGCAATTGTAGTTTTATATTGTACTTGTTATTAAAAATACACTTCATTTAACACTGAAATACACGTGGACCGGATCTGAATTTTCAATTCAACTTAAAATTAAAAAATTTAAAAAACAACTCAGGAAACAATCAAATCAAATCCTTGCGAATTTTGAAAAGGAATAATCAAAAAGAATAACAAAAATTTGGTTATTTCATTCCAAAATTGTTCCAAAATCATTAATTTCGTACAGGGCCTCTGTACCTACATGTATATAACAAACAAGATATGCAAAATAACAAACAAATCCTTCATAATCCATCACATATGTTGAAATTTTTAAAAATCAAATACAGCCTTTTTCTCCACATATTTTCTTATTTTTTCTTCTTTCCATATATAAGAAAAATTTCCTAAATAAAATTAAATTTTAAGAAAAAAATTACATGGAATATGAAAAAAAAGCACTTGTATTCAAAACTTCGTATATGTGTGCTACTTGCATTCAAAATTTAGAACATCCACTGGTTTAAAACTGTTTATGTTTAAAACTAGTTCAAATTTTTTTTACTCTACCCGTATAATGTCCTTTCTGTTCTTTCTTTTTTTTTTCTCTCAAAAATATAATAAAAATTCATTTAAAATGTGATGATCTTTGTAATATAAGAGCAGTCTGCCGCTCTTAAAACTTAATATTGTATATCCCTATTTAATGTTTAACAAATAAGAGAAAAAAAAAATAGAGGGATTTTTTTTTTCTCTATACTCAAGAAAACTGCCCAAGAACTTTTCTTAAAAAAAAACTGTTGGAAAAATAAATAAATAAATTTTCTTGAAAAGTTTATTATTTAAAAATAAAGTTTATGTTCGAAAAAAAAAAAACATAAGTACATTGTATTAGGGCTACCATCCGTACATAAATTTTCAATTACAGTTTTGCATTATCATTAGAGAGTTATGAAAATTTTTTTTGCTAAATATAATTTTGTGAAATAAAATTTTAAAATCAAATATTTCAAGTCGACTGCCGCAAAATCTTCACTAATTTCTAGACTATATAATTATCAAATAACTCACGGTTCTGACATAGGTCGAAACATAAGATTTGAATTACTGAAATCTGACAATGAAATCCGATTTTTTGTTCTTAATTTCTTATTTATTTTCTTTTGTAATTTTGATCGAATTTTGACTAATATTTCGAATACAAAAACACAATACCCTCTTCGAATAGAATAAAATTCTGCAAGTTCTTTTAATATCAAGCCATATAACCTTATTTTGTATATTTGGCAAGTCAACAAAAATATTTAATAACAATTTTTCTTAATTTTACAGGCTATAAATGGAGGTTTAGTTATGGTAGCATTTTATCCACATTTCGTAAGCTGCTCTGAAAATGCCAATTTGGAGGATGTTATCGGTAAGAATTTTTTTTTATTTTCCCATATTTTTAGTTTTATTTTTTTTTTTTCATTATTATTGGATAAACATGGAAAAATTTTAAAATTAATGAAAAATTTTCTTTTCTGTCTTACATAATATTTTTCTCTTAAAATTTCAACTTACCCTCAAAAAATTGGGGAAAAAAAAATTGGAACATATTTGTAAACTAATAAAAAACAACAAAACCAACAAATTAAAATAGCACACATCAACCATATAAGAGACGTGGCTGGTATAGATCATGTTGGTATCGGTGCTGGATACGATGGTGTTAATTTGTAAGTTTATATATAATTTTTTGTTTTTGTTTTTCTTGTTTTTTAATTAAGCTGTCTTGAAAATAAATACAAAACTGAATAAAATTTTGTAGAAAAGAAAAAAAAAAAACTTTTGTAATTAATTTTTATTTATGGTGCTAATATTTTTTTTTCTCTCCCTCTCTCTCTCTTTTTATTTTCTCTGATTTCTTTTTCTCCATTACTCTATTATTGTTTTTGTTTTTTTTGATTTTCTTTTTGTTTATTTGTTGTGGTCATACTTTTACTTTGTTTTTATTTTTTTTTTTAATTGAAAACTTAAACACAGAGTGCCAAAAGGCTTAGAAGACGTATCAAAATATCCGCATTTATTCGCAACTCTACTTAAATCGGAGAAATGGTCAGAAAAAGATATAGGAAAATTAGCTGGGAAAAATTTAATACGAGTTTTTAAGGAAGTAGAAACGGTAAGTTCACATATATTTTCAATTATATTTGTTTTAAAAAAATATAAGGATATCTGATTTATATATAAGATTTTTTACTATTGATTGTTGACCTAGGCTAAAGTAAAACAAAGCAAATTTTTATGAGATTAAAAATATGTTGATGAAATCAATGGTATTTAATTTGTGTCATTGTTTTCGTTTCCTGAATTTGATATTAATTTTGAAAACCTATGGAGCTTTACATAATTTGTTCATTGTTGCATAATTCACTACAATTTAATATTAGCTTCCATATGAACCTACATATTATATGTGAAGTCAGCAATAATTAATGAAATTTTTCAACCATTTACGGGCTACATAACAACTTTGATCAAATAAGGTCACATGTTAATTATTGTACAAAAAATTGGAATACCAAAAAAAAATCCTGCTAAATTTTGTTCTCTATCACTTTTTTCTATACAACACATTATTATACACGTAAAAAAGAAAACCAAGCAAAAATCAACCTGAAAAGTGACTTATTATCCCTTTTGTTTATCACTCATGAAGGTGTAAAATAATATTTTATTAGACATAATTTGATTTTAATAACATGAAAGCAAAACGCGAACAAGGAGATTATTTCTAGTTAATATAAAAATGGTGGTTGTGTGGCATACATACATATAGAGTCAATCATGCGAGTGAATCAATACAACGTTACTTAAAGCTACAAGTACACTTTATTATGGTTTTATCTTTCATCTTATATAACGTTACATACAAAATACATTTTATAAGCTCTTAAAATGTATAATGTGAACTTCAAGGTGAATATAATATGTATGTGTGTAACACACATACGTTTTGTGGAAATTTATGTGAAAATACATAAAAAAAAAAAAAAGTAATAATAAATTAGAAGTTATGTTGGAAGGAAAGTGATTTATGGCAAACGATGGTTTTTTGGAAAAAAAAAAAAGATTTTTTATTTTAGTTTTATTTTTATTTTTTTTTTTTGCTTTTTTTCAAAACTATATGTATATATACATGTACATATATATGTCTTTTACGTTCTTGTAAAACTTTTAAATATTCCCACTCGTAATTCAATGAAAATGAGAGCAAAAATTAAAGAGATTTCTGAATAACTTGTTAGAAAACTCCCATTTGTTTTTCTTCAATTTTCTTTTGCGATAGCATTGGTTTCTTTCTTATTCAACTTTAATTTTGTTTTTGCTATTATTATTGTTGTTGGTCAGTATATATATAGTGTTTAACATAATCGCTTTAAATTAATTTTTTTTCTCTCAAACTACCGCGTGAATCTTGTTGATTCATCAGTTTTATTGAATACGATATCAAAGTTTATATATTAAAAGTTTACGATATTGAATGGTGTGTTGAAGATTGAAATGTTTTCAAGATAAAATCATGTATTGAAGTTGTCTTTAATTTTAAGAAAATAGTATAATTAAAGCTAAAAATTTTGAAAATTTAAAAGTTGTTGATGGAATTATATAAGTTTTTAAATTTTTTTTTCATGAATTTTTAGGTGAAACGAGAAAATATTCGGCCTAAAAGTCAATTATCAAATATAAAATCAATTTTACATTGATTAGCAAAATAAGATTTTCAATTTTAATTTTATATTAATTATTCTAAAATAAAATTTAATTTTAGTTTGTTTCTGGTCACATAATTCAATGAAACAATCCAGAAAACAAATGTGCAGCATAATATGTTGTCTTAATAATTGAGGTATTTTCTCGAATTGATTCCAAATTTATGTATAGTCATTCCTTCATTTCCCATTTGTGCTTTATACCCATAGAATAAGTATACAAACCAATTATATTATAAGTTCTACATTTGAATCTTTGGGATCTTAACATTCACCCTTATGCTGTTAGCATTGATTCAACCAAATATTTAGTAATAAAAATATTACCTAATATGCATACAAAGTATTGCCATAGTAAAAAATGCTATCTGTATGGATAATTAAACTAAATACTTAATTTTCAATATAATCAATAAAAAAATACTTACATGCCAACTGTATTAAGTATGTAAATACATAAAGTAGACATTCTCATAAACAAAAGTTCAATAGATCAAAAACAAATTCATATGCAAAAGAATCTATTTGATCACACCTATATATGCTAAATGCATATGGAAAGAAAACACATATACTTACATAAGGTGTAGTGCATTTTGTACAAAGTTTGCTTGTAAAAAAAATATCTAAAATGGATTCTGTAATTCAAGGCAGCATTGAAATTTCCAATTTATTTATATTTCTTTACAAAATGAAATGATAACAAAAATTTTCAATTACTCACACAAAATAAATTTAAAAAAGTGCAACAATTTTGCACATACACATTTCCTACATAAACAGAACCCATTCCATATTGTAAATAATTTAAATGAATATATATGTACATATATAAATAACTTACACACATACAATATTTACGGATAAAGAATCAATAGTGGAAATTTATGCAAAGAACTTTTCAATCAAATATATTGGATGCTTTGGGGTACACACTGAAACTAATCAGGGTAAATAATTTCATTTTAATAAAAAAAAAAATTCTTGTTTTTTTTTCTTGTTGTTTTTTCAATTTAAATTTTATTTAATTTAAGGAAAGTTTTCATATATCTCATTTTCTTTTTTATATTTAAACGAGAAAAAATAGAGTTGACCGTGTCAACTCTGTGATACCCGTACGAATTTGTTATCCTATGTGCGCGAATAAAGATGAAATAACTGACTATGGGACAGACTATGACTTTAAGTTGCCGTATTACCATATTAATTTATGCAAAATTTCATTACTATGTTTTTCACAATACTGTGTGTGCAAAACTACTATTGAAGTTGTATGGCAGCTACCAAAAAGAGCTTAGCAATTTCAACGACTTTTATCAAACACATTCGCCTTACTAATATATTCGCTTGTTTGAAATTTCAATACCATGGCTTTCATAGTTTCTGAGATATAGCCAAATAAATTTTGAAGTTGTATGGCAACTACCAGAACCAATACCCCGATCATGTCGAATTTGAATAGGGTTCTGACACTTACTACAATAAATCAATTGTGAAAATTTGGTAAACTTAGCTCAATTAGTTTTTGAGTTATAGCTGGGACGAACGGACAGACAGACAAAACTAAATCAACTGAGAATTCGACGTTGATCAAAAACATACACTTGAGTCTATATTTCAGATGATTATTTTTTAGCGTTACGTACTTTTGTAATTTAGAATAATTCAATCGAACCCACAAAAAACCTTACTTAAATTCAATTAAATGTTTTTATTTTTTTTAGTACTTACAATAATACTTTTGTTTCTTCACCTTTTATGTTCCATGTTCCTAAAAAACAGTCCAACATAAGTTGTTTTTAATTTTATTTCCACCTTTACAAAGAATAAATGTTAGAAACGTGCTTAATTCTTTTTCTATTTTTTATTCCCTTTTCTTTTTACCGACCGTATTGTGTAAACAATAGGTAGGTTATGTGATGGCAACAAATTTTGCATATCGAGTTTTCGGTGGGAACGTACTTCTCCATAGTAGGGAAGTGTAAATAAACTATTTTTAGCAACCTGTCGGTCTGTCGGTCTGTCGGTCTGTCGGTCTGTCGGTCTGTCGGTCTGTCCGTCTGTCGGTCTGTGTGTGCACGCGTGTATCTCAAGTTCGGCTGAACCGATTTTGATGAAATTTTATATGTAAGTTTGTTTCCACCATGGCACGGATCGATCAACTTTTGGTATATATCAGGCCTCGGGAACTGCACTTTTTAGCGGGCCTGTTTTACATTTTTGAACATTTTGGAGAAAATATTCAACCGATTTACTTGAAATTTTATATATAAGCTCAGCTCGACCGTCCGCAAAAATTCGTATGTTTTGGAAGAAATCAGGCATCGGCAACTAGACGTTTACTACGGGCCAAATATACATTTTTGTGTATATAAAGAGAAATAATCAACCGATTTTATTGAAATTTAATATATGAATTCCTCATATTAAAGCAATGAACATATAACTTTTTTGGAAAGATCAGGGGTCGAGAACTGATTTGTGGGCCGATTTTACACTTTTCACCATATCCACAGAACAAATTGATGGAATTTCTTGAAATTTGATATTTGAGTTCTGGTTGTTACCGAAACTAACTGGCGAGCATTTCAGGGAATTCGGGTAGCACAAAGCGAAACTCTACTAAGAGCCAAATTTACATTTTTCTAAGTATGTTAACTATAAGCTTACTAATGTCCTAAAAATTGGAAAGAAGTATTTAACAGACATTTTTATAATATTCTGTAACACTTTCATTTAACTAGACAATACACAATGCGGTCGGTTATGTGCTGGCCACATCAGATTTTTTTTTTTGTTTTTGCATAGTTGTTCGGGTCTATTGTTATTTTCATTGCTGCCGTTTTTGTTTCATACTAAATTAAAACCAAACAAAAATGGTAGTGCACTAGAGGATAAGGTTTTTACTTTTAATGCTTTTCTTTTTGTGTTTTTATGCAAAAACAAAAATTAAATAATTTTCTACCCTTCTTTGAAATATTTCAAAATCGTTTAATGGAAAATTGAAATTAAAAATTTTAATTTTTATTTTACATTATTTTTGAACTCTTTATTTGCATGTGAAACGATTCCAATTAGTTTTCAATTAAATAAACAAAAAAAAACACATTAAAACTAAACTATTATTGAAATTATTACAGCAAAAGTTAGAAAATTTTCTCATTAAAAAAAAAGAGAAAGGTTAATTTGTTAGTTCAAACCAGTGATTCCCAAAGTGGTTTATATAGGCCCCAGGAGTCCATGAAGACCTGCTAGGGGTCTACAAAAAATATGAATTTGATTAAATAACTATTAAGGGGGTTTATCAAAAATCCAAAAACACGTCAAGGGGTCTAAGAGGGAAAAAGTTTGGGAACCTCTGATCTAAACATATTGGAATACCAACCATATAGAATAAAATGCTTTTAAA